CACCCACCCAAAAATTTCCCAAGCTGACCAAAACCAGACACACACACCCCCACACACCCCTACACACCCACCACACTTACACGGGCCCAAATAGGTGTCTGGTATTATGTATAGATCTTTAATTCTGGAGGCATCCAAATGAGCCGCAAACCTCTGAAACCACTTACACCTCACACAACCATGTTGTGGTTTCCTTCATTCAAGTGTATTTCTCCCCTTTCTTTAGATGAATGAATTCATCCCCCAAATCCTGCTTTTTCTTTTTTAATTCCCAAAATAACTTCACTACAAAGGGGAAAAAACAGCCTGAATCTCCTTTAAAGGCAATCATTCATTTTCCACAGAGAGAAGCATTAGACTCCCTGCCTTGCTGCAACTCCTTACACAAGTTCAAGAGCTAAAACATATTTTCCCTGGAATATTTAAAAGACGCACGCACTACTTCACCTTAAAATAATCCTTTTCCTTCAAGCTCCTGAGGAATCTCTCCCACAGGGGACCACTTAACATATTTCTCTTGGAATCAGGAGATACTTTAGTGCTCTTGGAGCACAAAATTTCAAAGCCATGAGCCTGTATGAGAGATGCAACAAGAGGTTCTCAGTGCGTGACAAACTTTACTTGTATTTTTCTGAACGAGCAACTTACAAGCAAAGACTCATTTCCTGGACATACACAGACAGGTAAATTAAGCACCAAATGCATAAAAATCCTTACCAGTTTCATGCCCAGTTCATAGGCTTTGTACTGGGGATGGGATGGGGTGGGCAGTGTGTACCCACTGCGTCTGTCAGCAGCAAACTTCTGCTGCACCAGCTGTGCATACAAACACTTGGTGAAAGTAACCTGAAAGAGACACAAAACACTCACTGCACGGTGACTGTGCTTTCACCAGGCTCATCTATATCTTACTTTAAGGCACTCATATTACAGACAACACCTGAGACTGCACTCAAAATACATCTTAGACACATTTTTTTCTAAGATATGTTGCTTTTCAGGTCTTACAGAGTATATTCCAAGCTGACATCTCTAAATAAACATGAACTTCAGTCAGTCTAAATACATCAGAACAAATCCTCAGTAGTCATGTCAACAAGGTGTACTTTGAAAACTGTAAGGGCTACTTTCAGCTAATGAAACCAAAGCTGAGATTCAGAAACAGTCTGAAATTTGATTCCAAAGCTTCTTTTCAGGAGCCCAGGGGTGTAACTCTGTAATGAAATGTATCAGATACAACACTGCTTGGACAGTGCTCAGAAGAATCCTCATAAAGTGGCTTTCACAGTCTGTGAGAGCACAGCTCAGGTGGTGAAAATGGAATGAACCACTAGTCAGGAGCAATTGCTCCTGTTGGCTGGCAGTGCTGTCACACTGCTCTGACCACAGCAGCAGATCGATTCCCTCGGCAGAGGAACCATCAGCACAAGCTCTGATTCCAGAAACATTTCTCACATGCAGAGCCCTTTGAGAGCCCAGCTGTGCCAGTCTGAGGGCAGGAAAGCTATTAATGGAATGTAACAAGCTGAAGAGAAAGAAATGAACCAAAAAACATGTTATTTTAAAAATGTAATCCGTGTTTATACCACTGACCAGAGAAATCCTGTCAGTTACAGAAGAGTTAACGACAAGCCGCTGCAGCAGATCACTTACCACCGTCATCACGCGCTGGTCCGGAGGGAAGGTCTTAAAGGGGCGACGACAGGCTCGTAAATCCACGGGATCTCGCAGGTAGAAGGCCTCGACTGCCGCGGCCACCAGGGACGGGCGCTGCCGCAGCACTGCCACAACCCCTGCCGGCAGGAAGCAGTGAGCTCGGTGCAACGAGGTCTGGATCTTCTCGGGATACCTGGATCACACAACAGCAAGAGTGTAGCAACGTCCCGCAAGCCCAAACGGCTCCTTGTTAACTATCACTCCCATCTTCAGTGTAATAGTAATCGATACTAGGGGTCAGAAGATGATTCTAAAGTTAAAACTCAGTTAATCTAATGCCTGGGATGTCTGTTTTTATAGTACATATATTATATATAATACATACACACAAATACACATGGCTAATAAAATTGGTAACATTTAACTAACATATCCAACCACACAATATCCTTTACCACACCAAGTCATCTGGCTCATGCTGCCAAATCCTTGCAAAAAAGAAACAATCCAATGTACAGTGCTGTTACAGCTGACACTGAAAAATGTGCTGGTTCTCTATTTTAGGTCAAATCCTCTTTTTCCTCCAACAAGGGATCCTAAATGGACAGGTTCTGCCCTCCTAATGGCACAGAATGTTCAGATTTTTCAGCACAAGGATGTGAAGGAAGAATAGCATTGTCGGGTGTGGAATCATAGAAGTGAAGTTGC